TAGTCTGGGTGAGCAGATTCAGAATCAAGCCCCGTGAGACGTTCGCCACGAGAGGGGCAGGGTAGAATGTTATTACACTATTCACTGAATCTCTTCATCAAATCATTTGTCACCAAAGCACATATTGCCAGTGGATTACAGCAGCGGCCACAGGTCGCGTGAATGTGTGGTTAGTCAACCCTGCCAAGCAAGAAATGTGCTTCTCAGTATTACTTTAAGATTGAGGATGGGAATAGGACAGATAACATATGCCATATAACCTCTCCACACCGAACACAGCGCTCACATAGATTACGAAAATTTTTAAATTAGAGAGACTATAGAATATAGTTGCATGATATATCCAGCTTTGAAGGTTGGAGGAGGACTGATGTTGACTGCATAACCAATGTCATGTGTCTGTGGCTACAACACTTGTGCTTGCAAAAATCAATTGCTGGACTGAGATTAAAGGGATAGATCACCCAAAAATGAAAATTCTGTCATGATGTACTCGCTTTCATGCTATTCCAACCTGTTTGCTGATTTTTGGCTGTGTTCACGCAGCAGCAGTCAATGTGTTAAGACTTGTTTATGAATGTCGCCATGTTTGATATGAATTCAGTCACTGTGTCTATGGTTACATCAGGTGATAGTCACAAATAGAATACAGGCTTGACTTTGGTTACTCGTTCATTCAAACCAGTATTGTAAGCTGCTGTGTGAACAGGACATTTTGAGACTCACCTTTTAAGTAATTGACCGAATTTGCCATTTTGTCCGACAAACAAACCAGACAGGAGAGTAGATTAACGTCGTGTTGTGTATTGACGTCTTTCCGCGGTTGAAACAACATGCCTTCTGATGTTCATTCATATTTATTTTGTGCTATAACTAGTAAAGAGGAAGAGCTGATCGGTTTACAGTTCCAAAAACTGAGTGTGAACGTAGCCAAAAGGGACTTTCCTGCACATTCCCCTCCATTCTGCACATTCAAACTGCTGTGTCCACATTTGGTTACAACACATGCAAGAACTAGTGACATTTGTTGTGCAGTTTTTTGAATCTGAATGTTGACACAAATGAGATTCTGAGATGATTTCAGAGCTTTGGTGGAGAGGAAACATTATTAGTGAATTATGACTAAATTTCAGTCTGTTCCTCACACAAAGTTAACATACAAATCGTCATTACAAGTAATCTGCAGGTTGATCGGACGATTAAAAAAATGACAAAAAGAACCAAAATTGGTCATTAATTGACCATTTCATCAACTCATTATTTATCAGTGCATGTTTGATGTCAAATTTAATTGAATGATATTTTTTTTTAAATATAGTATTACCACAAAATATAAAAATTGTAAATACGAAAACAAAACAATGTGTGTATAAGTCTGTGGCAACTGTAACATTCTACACTTGGCCCATAAACTTCCACTCGAAGTGTATTTCAATCAGCATGTTTTTACATTTACATTTATTTATTCATTTAGCAAAGGCTTTTATCCAATGCGACTTATAAATGAGAAATACAAGCGATTCATTATAAAGAGGCAAATAAACATGAGAAGTGCTCATAATACAATGTTTCAGTACAAGCAAGAACAGCGAGGAATTAAGGAAATGTGAAAAAAGTAGGATGCAGTTATGTGCTCTCGAAAGAAATGAGTTTTGAATATTGTCAGGGATTCGGCATTCTGGATGGGGTTAGGAAGATCATTCCACCAGCAAGGAACAGTGAACGAAAACGTTATGAAAAGTGATTTTGTGCCTCCCTATGATGGTACCACAAGGCGTACCGATCTCAGGCTTCTGGAAGAGATGTAGACTCATAAGAACGAGTGGAAGTATTTCTTGATTAATTTTACAAGCTGATAGATTAGTTAAAGTCACCATGAAATTGCCAAATCAACTGTAATGATCTAATTAATTGGGGATGGATAATTAAGTCCCACCCTACATTTTTCTTGGTCAAGAAGCAGTTTCACTTCAATTTATGTCACGATAAGGAAAAAAAGATTGCAACTTCCCTTTCATGCTGACTTTAAATTATTTACTATGGTAGCTGACAATATGCCTTAGATTATATGTAATATTTCTTTAAAGTAGGTCTTTGGTGTTGGAGTATGTCCTTTTTAAAGCAAACGGAGTCTTTTAGCTTTATGTACTCGTTGACCCTGAATCTAAATTTAGCCACTTTTAAGTGGCTATACGTTATATGTCATTTGTGAATCAAAGCCACATGTGAAAACAAATGACCGAAATACCATCAAGTCCACTTTGTAACACTGCAATTTGAGAATCAGGTTGATGTGGACTTTCAAGTGTCACACAGCAGTGAGCCATTCCTTACTCACACACACACAGGCTCAAGACTTTATCTGATTCAGACTGCAATTGGCCCTGAGCTTTGCGAGCCTCTGCAGTGAAGCCCTTGTTGATTTGACCCGCTTTAATTAAACTCCATACAGTTGTGCTATCTGTGCGTGTGTTTTCATTGAAGATTGCCTTCGAAATTAAATTTTATTGAATAGCTTGTTGAGTCTCATTGAATGCCCTGTCATCTGAGTGTAAACATCCACTGATAGCGGTTATTTCCCTCTGCCGGAGCAGCCGCGTTTGACTGCGTCTTTGTGCGGATACAGTCAAAGATAGAGAAGGACATTATGATGTCATTAGCAGAGCAGCTTTGAGATGTCAGGCCTCCGCTGATAAACACAGGCCAATGTAGAGCACAGCTGGATCTGAGGCCATTAAACTCAAGGAGAAGCACTGTTCTTAGTGTGGTAGCAGAGATGAGAGGGGCTTCTGGGTCGTTTAGTGTGGAGAAGCTGAAGAAGGATAATAAATAGATGAATTAAGATGTTCTGCGCCCCTGGGTGAAAAAAGCCATTAACCCGTTGTGCAGAATTTCGGTAGTACCGGGGGTTTCCTTGTGATATTTGCAATGATTAAACTAATCTTGGATGCTGATTGGTCAAAACCATCATGCTAAAATACTCTATATAGAAACCCTGTTCACCACACCACTGCACCGCACCAGTTGAACAACATGCTGTTATCTTTTATAATATTTAAAAATACACTGCCATTCAAATGTTTGGGATTGGTATGATTTTGTGAAATTTTTGAAGAAAGCCTCTATCACCAAGACTGCATTTATTTGATCAAAAATACAGTAAAACCAGTAATATTGTGGAATATTATAACAGTGTAAAATATCTGTTTTCTATATTAATGTATTTTAACGTAATCTATTCATGTGATCTGAAATCACTCTAATATGCTGATTTGGTCCTCAAAAACATTTTCATCAATGTTGAAAACAGCTTCATATTTTCATGGAAACTGTCATCATTTTTTCAGCATTCTTTGATTAATAGAAAGTTAAAAAGAATAGAATTTATTTTTGAAATAGAAATCTTTTGTGACCTTATACTGTGACTTTTGGTCGATTTAGTGCATCCTCACTGAATAAAAGTATTAATTAAAAATAAAAAAAACTTTTGAATGGTAGTGTATGTGTATATTATTTTATAACATTTTAATGTGTTTCCTCGCTATGTTTACTATGTAGTATTTAAATAGTCATTAACCTTTTAACAGTTTATAATAGTTAGGCTTTGTTTTTATTGTTGTGACCATAATTCAATCAAATTAAAGATGCATATACTCTGCCAGCATAGTAATGGATCCTGATTCAATAGATATTTGACAGCAAATGATTTTAACACAGCTGTTCTGCCATGGGCAGTGAGCACTGATACTGTCTGAGAAAATGGATCGCCCAGAAACTCTCCTAATGGCTTTCCTCAGTCACAGTACACCCCCACATTCAGGGACTGTCAGTCATCATGCAATGAATTTTGATTTCAGACATACATGGGCTGATGGTTTTGTGTATATTTGATATTTCCATGGCAAGATTGGAAACAGTATTGAGGGCCTTTCTTCCATTAATGCTCAGTTCAGCAGAGACACAGCTCTCTACTGTCACCCTGAGCATTGTTGTTGCTGCTACAAGTATTAGTCACTGATCAGAAGTAAGGAGGTATTGGACCCTTTGCACATTTCTGGGGTTCTAAGAAGCAGAAGTCATAGGTGGCTGAACTATAGTGGTGAATAGAAACAACCATAAATATCATTTTTGTTTTCCCAGCTGCTCAAAAAGCTAAGGATAAAAACAATAATGTTTCTATGACTTTACAAAAAAAAGGAAATTAATTGAGTGATAGACTACGGTGGTCAGAAGAGAGAAAGATGTTAAAATTGCTGTCGCTCTCTCAGCCATTGTATTAAAAAATGAAAATATAAAAAAAACTTTACTATAAATGTTACTAACTGTTGAAAAGTGTAATCAGAGTCTGTGAAAAGGGTCTATTATGGGCAAAAATTATCAATTTGGTTGGATTGAACAACCAAACTTTAAAAAACAGAATTTAATCTCTCATTTTTATAAAAGGTGTAACTTATATAATTTTAGAAATTGCTTCTTTAATAGTAATGCTGGTAAAACAGGTTTTTATTTGTTTTATTTAGCATTTTATGGGCCTTTTTAATTTTGAATGATTGATGTATGTTGAATTTATTGATTCATTTATTAATTTAATGTTTTATTTTAATAATTATTTATTTGCTTAAAATAAACAAGACAAAATTGTCTGATAATAACCAACCACTTAGTTGTTAATCATATTAAAACCACTTCTCACTTCACTTCTGTGGGGTCTACAGTATGTAATTTTGATGTGATTAATACATTTTTCATATTTAACCAGTTTATGCCTAATTCCCATATGCTCAAAATGTATGTTATGATACCATACAAATTGTATGTATTTTATGTGAACTTCAAAATGACAGTTTTGATTGAATTTTTTTAAACGCAAAGTACAATTCAAAGTTAACACGAAGTCGTTTTGTTATTGTCCCGTGTTAATATTTACACCTAAATGTCATTGTACTTCTCTCAAATGCACCCATATTTCATTTGCTTCCTCTCTTGTCTCTCCATTCTAGTGGTCATTATGGCATCTGGTTTACTGGTTTACCCCTTCGGTCTCAACTCCAGCCTGGTCAAGTCTTTCTGTGGAGACTCGGACATCTACTACGCCGGGGAGTGTCAGATAGGATGGGGCTATATGCTGGCTATCGTAGGTGTCATGCTCACCCTCTTCCTGCCCTTTTTCGCCAAGTACGCCCCCAAAGAGCAGCTGTCACCCACCCCACTGCCCACTCTTTTATAGAGCACTAAAGACCACCACCTACAATATTCAACCTACTCAGCCGTCATAAATAATTATTAAATGATCAAAGATTTGAGGTTGGACAGATTGCAAATTCTCAGCATCATTTGCCGTGGTTGGTAATATAATGATGTCATGAAGATGATGTTGCTCTGGAGCAGAACTCAAGACCCTTCATCCCTTCTATTCTCATTGTTTTTGTTTTTTAGTGTCTTCCTTAATTCGATACAGTCTTTTTTTTTTTCAGGTGAAAAATTCGTTTATATGGATTTTGCTCTTTCTTTCCCTTCTTTCTAATTTATTTTCAAGCTCTGTTCTTGATTGAAGACCTCTTAAGGACTAACTACTGAAAATATCAGACAATGGACCATGGGGCAAATTAGTATTTTTGAAATTTTGTTTGCAAGGATCAAAACCAAAAATAGCAAATTAAATGAAATTTGAGTTACAATTTCCAATATTTTACTAAGACTTGTCAGCATGCAATGAAAGGATAACAAAAACAAATGGTAGGCCCTTCTTAAATGGACTTCTTCTAAAGGATCCAACAGGTTTCAAGGAACCGTTTCATCGAGTTCATTGAGAGAAACTCAACTCAAACTCAATAAATCTGAGTCGGAAAGTTTCTAGCACCTGATATAGTACCTATTCAAGGACCAACACTGTGGCTTAAGTAAACTGAAACATTTTTATCCTCCATACGAGTTTTCATTTACGGGCATCTGTCTGAATTTTCTTCATTTTGTTTCTCATAACTGCGTGAGGGCCATTAAGGAACTGTATTGACAGTATGGACCAGGCCGTTGCTTCAGACTGCCATGGATGGACCACAAGCATGGACTTTTCTCAGCTGTATGTGAAAGTGAAATGATCCCACAAGTAAAACCATTAGTTTTCCCAAACTGAGTGAACAGGATTTGTTGTGAAGTCTCCTTTTGCGTTCTTTACTGTAACACCTACTAGTACTGAATTATTCAGGATTACACAAATCAGGAGCAAGGCTGTTCTTAGTTAAAGTTGGGCTTAGTTAACACTGAGACACTACGTTCTGGAAAATACCAACTTCTAACCAACTTGTGCCTTTTGACCATTGCTAAGACTTAAGTACCTTTCATCAGGTAATCTACTTCTAAAACATTTTGTAAATGCTTTCTTGATGGATTAACATTGTGTGATTATTTCTGTATGTCGCCATCTTTAATGATGATTAGTTTTAGCTGAACGTTTTTAATGTTGGCACCTCTTGCCAAGCTGATGGCCTGATTTGTTTTGAAGGGGTTGCAAAAAAGAACAAAACGATGAAAGCTAAATTAGCAAGTCACTGAACAAGACAGGACGCCCAATTCAGTCCTGATTTGTCATGACAGATTTATGTATTTCTTTGGGAAATTGGGAAATGGGCTGTAACGATCAAATTAAGCTAGTGTGCTTTTGCATTTACACTTGGCACAGCAATACGGTGAAGCTAAAGCTTCTACTTGGATCATTCCATATTGCACTTGGCTCACTTTTGCTGTTGTGTTGATCCATTTGTGTGTTATGTGTTCAGACTGGCTAAAACATTAGCACTCAACTGCCCTCTTGCATAGATTTAACACCAAATTCTATTATGATATAGATGTGCTGACAGTGAAACAAACCCATTCCCCCTGAAGATGTGTGTACTTGTAACTGTTAAGGGTAGCTGAGGCTCAGACTTTAAACTGGCGTGAGATGTCAAATATAACAGGCCCTTTAAATGTGTTTATGCAGGAGTACACTGGCATCCTCCGATTGCCTTGACGGTGATGGCAACTTGCATTCTTGAGTTCTTGTATGTAAAGTCTGACCACTGGTAGATCTTAGATCTTGTAGATTAGTGCTGTGGGTTTCCCACTGTGTTTTGGATGTAAATAATTCTGTAACATGGCATCCTGATGGTTGGTTCCCTTTTGAAAGATATATTTTGCGATGTTACCTCATCATTGTGTTTGTTTAACCTTTGAAAACGTTAACAAATTGCTGTTATGTGTTTCTTCTTTGTAATAAAGCATTTCATAAACTTAGCAGATTGATGTCTTTTGAATGAAGACACCAACAAATCTTTCAAAACAATATTTCCCAAGTTTGGGAATGAAGTACAAATAGTTTTTTTTAATGCAACAATTAACAATAATGTATAAATTAGAACTCAAATATGCACACAAATACAAAATAAATATATTATCACAAATTTAAATAAACTATGTATGCATGGGAACTAAATTTATATCCATTTAAATTATAACTCAAGATTATATATGCATATAAATTAGAAATCTAAAATATTTTGAATGAATTTTAAATTACATTTTAAATTTAATTCGAGATGATATATAAATTAGAAATATTTTAAATGCATATAAATTAAAATAAATCAAATATTATTAATGCATCTAATTTGCAAAGTGAATCAAAATCTCCAGATACAGATCACAGATTTAAAACGGTTTTACATTCACTGACCATTATAGGTCATTCTTTAACTACTTCACAACTAAACCAAAACCAACCCTAACCTCAGTATAAGTCTGAGCTAGTTTAATCTTTCTCCTGTTACTCACTCGATCCACATCACATTTCACTGAGAGCCAGCACCACATCCCTCATTTTTGCATCTGACACTCTCACAGCCTCCAGGGCATTCCTTTGCTCTGACAGTGAAGCAGCTCGGACTGACACACAAGTCATTGTGTCTTTTTGCCTGTCGTAGTTTCCAATGCAGCGATGCACCTGACCTCTGATCAGTCTGGGCAGTGTCTGATCCTGAAGAACAAATACACAATGACTTGAACATAAAGGTTTATGGTGTCTCTACCACTGCCAACATCACATAACAATGTGCAGTCATAATGGTCTATCTTATTTGAAAAATAGAAAAATGCGCAATGGAAAATAAGTGGGTGTCATAAACTAGAGAGAGCAGCTTGTTTCTTTAATTGTTTCTTCAGATCTGTATCTGTAATGTCATCTCTGATATAAACCAAATACTTCAATATAAAAAAATAAAAAAAACTTTAATATTTAAAAAAAACAAATATATACAGTGGGTACGGAAAGTATTCAGACCCCCTTAAATTTTTCACTCTTTGTTATATTGCAGCCATTTGCTAAAATCATTTAAGTAAATTTTTTTTCCTCATTAATGTACACACAGCACCTAGGCAAGGAGGTTCAGCCTGGTCCCCATCCTCTCCCGCATTTCGTCGTGCAAAATGGCCGGCTCTACTGTGTCGCGCAGCGAAGGGGGGAGGAAAAATTATTGCTGGTGGTGCCACGCACAAAAACGGAGACCGTGTTGGAGCTGGCCCACTCCCATCCCTTGGCAGGGCATCTAGGAGCCGGGAACA